ATCCTCGTCCCGCTTCTGCTGGGTTCCGCTTTGTCCCTTGTTTTTTTCTTTTTTTGCTTTCTGTGTGCGTGCGATTGGTGTGGCCCCTCCCCTCTCCTGCCTCACCCACCCCGTGCCCACCCTCCTGGCCCAGCCCGAGGCCCTGCGCTCCAAGGGCGGCGGCCCTCACGCGCATGCCCAGCGCTGCTTCCTGTCCAGGGCCACGGTGGCTGGCAGCGGTGCGGGCTCAGGCCCCAGCAGCAGCAAATCCAAGCTCAAGCGCAAAGAGGCCCTGAGCTTCTCCAAAGCCAAAGAGCTCTCCCGGAGGCAGCGGCTGCCCTCCGTGGAAAACCGGCCAAAGATCTCAGCCTTCCTGCCCGCCCGGCAGCTCTGGAAGTGGTCGGGGAACCCCACACAGGTAGGTCTCCAGAGGGTGGCAGGAGGAGTTCCATGTTCCCAAGGAAACCAGGGCGGGCTCACGCGCCCCTGCTGCCCTTCCTCTCCTTTTTGCATCTTCCTACTTGATTTCAAGTTAAAAAATGTGGAAAACTCAAGGGAAGAACAAAAACCCATCCATGACCCAGTGAGGCAGACAGCTACTTCTGCTGGCCCCTCGCTGGAGCCCACGGCCTGCGTGACGGTGGAAACGACTTCACGTCAGCGCCGGGCCCGAGCTGCACTCCACATGTTATGGCCTCACTTTTCCACGTCAGTAGTGGCACGGCCAGCTGGAGAGCTGTGGATCCCCGCGCTCAGATGCCAGCGTCTGTCCTTGCCAGGGCACTGCTCGGGGATGCACAGGGCCGCTCGTGGGTCTTTTTTCCTCGTAAATAACACTGTGGTGAACGTCTCGTCCACACATCCCTGCCCCAGGTCCAGTGTCCAGATGTCATGACTCCGTGTGCAGGCTCAGTGGAGGCGCGGCCCCTGCTCCGGATCCATGGCTGCCATGGCCTTCAGCCGCGGTGCTGCCGCTTCCCGTCCTTGCAGGCGCCCCGCACACTCACCCTCTGAAACTCAGACTCACACACCCACACCACGCCCTCCAGGCCTCCTGGCCGCCGCCTGTCCCCCCCGCCCCTGGCCTCTCAGAGCCACCCTGCCCATGTCCCCCACAGCGGCGTGGCATGAAGGGGAAGGCCCGGAAGCTGTTCTACAAGGCCATCGTGCGGGGCGAGGAGACTCTGCGTGTCGGGGACTGCGCCGTCTTCCTGTCAGCTGGCCGGCCCAACCTCCCCTACATCGGCCGCATCGAGAGCATGTGGGAGTCCTGGGGCAGCAACATGGTGGTCAAGGTCAAGTGGTTCTACCACCCCGAGGAGACCAAGCTGGGCAAGAGGCAGTGCGACGGCAAGGTGAGGCCCAGGCAGGTGCGGGGCCCAGCCCCCCTCGGGGCCCCGGGGAGGGGGCACGACAGCAGCCAGCGCTGTGCTCCAACACAGGGCACCTGGCCCCACCACACATCTCCCGCTCAGCAGGTGCCACGGCCCCGCGGGGAGCCGCACAGCCTGTAGCCATGCCCTAGAGCAGGGCCCCCGGGTCCCTCCCCACTGTCGGGGGCTGTGGCCCACGGCAGTGCTCAGCATCCGGCAGGCCCAGTTCACTCCTGGGATGTGTAGCAGCCCCCACTCCGTGGGTCCTCCCTGGCTGCGATGCCAGCCCAGGACAGAAATTGCCCTCAGCACGCCCTGTGCTCCTCCCTGAGAAGAAGCCGTTTTCCAGACCGTGGGACGTGTCCATCTTCCAGGGAAATTAGTATTTCTCTGACTCTGACAGTCCCCAGAGGGTCCCGGGCAGGCTCCTCGGGCTCTGGACTGGTTGCCCTGTTCCAGTCACACAGTTGGAGGCCTGTCAGGTGACCCTTACAGAGCATGGGGGGGCAGGGGTCTTTCCTGGCCGGCCGCTGACGCCCCGCGCGCCTCGCCCGCAGAACGCACTGTACCAGTCCTGCCATGAGGATGAGAACGACGTGCAGACCATCTCCCACAAGTGCCAGGTTGTGGCACGCGAGCAGTACGAGCAGATGGCCCGGAGCCGCAAGTGCCAGGACCGGCAGGACCTCTACTACCTGGCGGGCACCTACGACCCCACCACCGGGCGCCTGGTGACAGCCGATGGCGTGCCCATCCTATGCTGAGCCGCCCACCGCAGATGCCTCCCACCTGTGCCAGGGACCCTGTGTGCGGAGCCTGGCATCAGCCAAGCCGCCGGGCAGGAGGCAGCCCCAGCCTCCCAGGGGCGAGTCTGAGCAAATATGCAAAAGCCCACAGGGCAAGACCAGGCTTTCTTAGGTTTTCCCTGGAAAGAGCGTTCCAGGTGTCGGAACCCAGTCCCGTCCCATCCGCTGCGGAGGGTCGGGCTGTGGCCCTGATGGGTCCCTGGCCCGCCCCGCCCACAGCACCCTCCGTTTCCCGCACCGGCAGTTCACGGGAGATTCGAATCCAAGCCATATTCCCTAGTACCTCCGACTGTCTCCCACCAGGGAAAGCAGAAATCAGGTGTGTTGTCTATTTATTTCTCTATGTAAATACTGTATTTCTGCGGGGAAGTTTTATGGAAAAATGTGGAAAAGGGTTTTTCCCCATCCGCGTGACAAGGTGTGTGTGAGCGCGTGTGTGTGTGTGCTTGTGTGTGGCGATTTTTGTCCTGGGGTTTCCTTTGGAAATGCACTGTTCTCAGCCCAGCTGGGTTCCAATGGGGGCACCTGGGACGACAGAGGCAGCTCGGGGCAGGGGGCAGAGGCCACGGGAGGGTCAGGTGGGACCCTTGGTGGCACCCTCCAATCTCTTGGGGGGACAACCGTGTAAGATGAAAGTCAGTCGAGTTTATTTGCTTTCAGTGCGTCTCCTAGAAGTGTTAGAGCAGGGGGCGGTGATGAGGGGCCTGTAGGGAAAGAAGAATTCAAGAGGCAAAGCCCAGACCAGGGAGTGTGACAGCAGCCGTGTGCCTCTCACCTCTGTTCAAAACAAGACAAAGACGAACAAATATTTTAAAGTATTGATAAGAAAAAGTGATGTTTGGATTGTATTTCCTGAATCGTACTCCAACTTATATCTGATTTCTGTTTCCGGGGCCAGTTGGTCTGAGGCCGAGGAGTCTGGCCTCCACCCGGAGCAGGGAGGGACTGGCCCCTCGCCCCCCTCACCCTTGCTGCCCTGGCACACTCAGGAAGCAAGGCCCA